AAAAAAAAAAAAAAAAAAATTAGCCGGACATGGTGGTGTGTGCCTGTAATCCCAGCTATTCGGGAGGATGAACCCAGGAGGTGGAGCTTGCAGTGAGCCACTGTCATGCCACTGCACTCCAGCCTGGGCAACAGGGTAAGACTCTGTCTCAAATAAATAAATAAAGAAGACTCTGTCATAAATAAATAAATAAGACTGTCTCAAATAAGACTGTGTCATAAATAAGATTCTGTCTCAGATAAGCAAACTAGCTTCCTTTTCAAAAAAAAGGAATAAATTAGGTCATAATTCTAAAAGCCTATCCTACTTTAAAATTGTTTATTCAAGTTCAGATGAAAAGAGTGGACTAGTAAGCGACTGAAGTGCTTTGGAATCTCCCGTGCCTGCCTTAACTTTAGAAAGTTGAGCACTTTATGATACAGTTTTCAGAGTGGTTGAGAATTGAGTGTTGAGCAATGCAAGCGAAGCTGTGCAGTAGGTAATGGATTGATGGGGCTGGATTTAGCAAGTCTGATCAATTTAAAGGGAGTTTTTGAATGCGTTTTTTGTAGTTAAAATACTCATTGTTGCATTTTATTTTTAAATTGCAGGTAAACAAGTGAGAACCAAACTTTCACAGGCATTTAATCATTGGCTGAAAGTTCCAGAGGACAAGCTACAGGTATTAGGCAACTCTAATCTCATTACCCCCATGAAATTAATAGCTGTCACATAAAAATACTCCTAGTTCTTGATTGAATTTAGTGATCATGCAAGGTATTATTTTGTATTGAGTTTGCTAAATATTTATTAGTTGTGAAAATTAACACACCTGAGACTTTAATAATCTATTAATTAAACCGATAATGTAAGCTTTGAATAGTTCAAATAAGTGAAATTTTCAATTCTTTTTAGATTATTATTGAAGTGACAGAAATGTTGCATAATGCCAGTTTACTCATCGATGATATTGAAGACAACTCAAAACTCCGACGTGGCTTTCCAGTGGCCCACAGCATCTATGGAATCCCATCTGTCATCAATTCTGCCAATTATGTATATTTCCTCGGCTTGGAAAAAGTCTTAACCCTTGATCACCCAGATGCAGTGAAGCTTTTTACCCGCCAACTTTTGGAACTCCATCAGGGACAAGGCCTAGATATTTACTGGAGGGATAATTACACTTGTCCCACTGAAGAAGAATATAAAGCTATGGTGCTGCAGAAAACAGGTGGACTGTTTGGATTGGCCGTAGGTCTCATGCAGTTGTTCTCTGATTACAAAGAAGATTTAAAACCACTACTTAATACACTTGGGCTCTTTTTCCAAATTAGGGATGATTATGCTAATCTACACTCCAAAGAATATAGTGAAAACAAAAGTTTTTGTGAAGATCTAACAGAGGGAAAGTTTTCATTTCCTACTATTCATGCTATTTGGTCGAGGCCTGAAAGCACCCAGGTGCAGAATATCTTGCGCCAGAGAACAGAAAACATAGATATTAAAAAGTACTGTGTACATTATCTTGAGGATGTAGGCTCTTTTGAGTACACTCGTAATACTCTTAAAGAGCTTGAATCTAAAGCCTATAAACAGATTGATGCACGTGGTGGGAACCCTGAGCTAGTAGCCCTAATAAAGCACTTAAGTAAGATGTTCAGAGAAGAAAATGAATAATGTTAAGCCATTCTGGATTGGGCCTCATAGCTTATTTTAGTTAATCACTTTTTTGTCGTGTAGTCTATCACCTTTTAAAAATTTTGGTCCAAGCTGTTATTCCCCAAAAACTGAGTCAATAGGTGAGTAGGGGTGATGCAAGTGATTCTGTTTTAATTTAGAAAAACCTCTATACAGATAATCAAAAGTCAGAAGAATCAAGCCGCAGTTATGTAGGTCTCATTTGAACATCATAATTACAGTGGGAGGACACTGTCACCAACTCTGCCCTACTACCATCAATGTTGTGTTTATTCTGTCAATAAAAAAGACTCATTTCCAGGAATTTTTATCTATACACTTTCTAACTGTACTATCTGGGCAGCTCCAAGCCAGTTTCTTTTAGCTAGCTTGTCCAAAGACCTCAAATTTCTTTTTTTGCTAAACACTGCTGCTGAGAATATCTCACTGTCCTCCCTGGAAACCCCCTTACCGAAGTTTTCTGTGAAAAGGCTGATGATAAACAGCATTCCCGTCCTTTTTTTTTTTTTTTTTGGGATGGAGTTTCGCTCTTGTTACCCAGGCTGGAGTGCAATGGCACGATCTCGGCTCACCGCAACCTCCGCCTCCTGGGTTCAGGCAATTCTCCTGCCTCAGCCTCCTGAGTAGCTAGGATTACAGGCACGCGCCACCATGCCCAGCTAATTTTTTGTAGTTTTAGTAGAGACGGGGTTTCACCGTGTTGACCAGGATGGTCTCGATCTCTTGACCTCGTGATCCACCAGCCTCGGCCTCCCAAAGTGCTGGGATTACAGGCTTGAGCCACCGCGCCCGGCCTTCCCGTCCTTTTTCTTAACATTTTCCTTTTTTCCTTCCTCTCCACCCCACAGGTTTTGCTTTTTAACCAAGGTGTCTTTGCTTGATGAAATTCACATGCTAGTTTTATTTCTTTTTTTCTCCTTTGTAATACAACATTTGTGTGCCCCAACTGGTCAATATCTGGGTACAGCATTGCCTGTCCAATTGGGAAGTAGAAAAGGAGTGTATGGGGTATTTTAGAAGGGAGCCTTTGAACCTTAATATATTTCCCCGTCATTGATAGTGACAATCTTAAAAGGTTGTTTTCTTAAGTACAAAAGCATGGGAAAATGCTCTTTTCCTTCCCACCCACATCACTACCCCCCTTGAAGATAATAGGTGCTAGAATGGAAAAGGAGTAGGCATCTTTAATCTCCCTGATTAAATGAAAGAAAGTGTTAGCCTGAGAGTGCCTGACTGAAAAGTAACCAAAAACATACTATCAAGCACTGCTTAGCTTTTTAGTGCCTTAACCCTGACCCTGTTACCCATGTTGTATAATTTCTAGACCCCAGCCACTGAAGTTATCTGTGGCCCAAGAGGCAGGACACACACAAAAAAGATACTGATTTCAATATATAAATAGTTGATATCCCAAAATAAAAGTTTGTTTCCCTTAGAAATATATTTTGCTACAGAAGGAGCAGCATTGAGAAAGAAAAACATTAACAAAAAAAAAAAGAAACATTTTGCTTGATTGGTTCTATAATATGTTATTTAGGATCTATTTACCATATACTTAGATGAGAAATCCCCACCCAAGCATTCAACATAAATCTTTGAAGTTGGGTGCTGTTTTTATTAACTTTTAAAATAGTTTAAATCTCCCATTTTAATAGGTAGAAGCCCCTTAAAATCATGGATATTGATGTTGTATGGAAATTTGAACTTTATGAACCCCTACTTCTAAAAAACTTTAAAATCTGTTGATACAAAATATCTACATTTTAAGTATAAAAATTGCTTAAGTAGATTTGTTCCTTGCCTGTCAAATTAATTTTGACATGATACTCTTCATTATTCATTTGTCATTTTTATCTTGTCTTTGTCAGTGACAGAAATGCTTGGCATTGAATTGGGGACATTTGTTTTTTTTTTTGAGACGGAGTTTCACTCTTGTTGCCCAGGCTGGAGTGCAATGGCATGATCTCATCACTCCAACATCCATCCGCCCCTCAGGTTCAAGCCATTTTTCTACCTCAGTCTCCTGAGTAGCTGGGATTACAGATGCCTGCCACAACACCCGGCAAATTTTTTTTGTATTGTTAGTAGAGACAGTGTTTCACCACATTGGCCAGGCTGTTGTCAAACTCCTGACCTCAGATGATCCACCCACCTCGGCCTCCCAAAATGCTAGGATTACAGACATGAGCCACCACGCCCAGCCTCTTAATAGATTTTCTAATGTTTTTACGAAAACACATTTATGTTTGATAACAAAAATGAAAGTATAATAATTTTTTACGTTTGTTCAATTTATTGAACCCTGAAACTTAGCCAATTAAGGTTCGAAAAGCTCTGTGAATAGAAAGTGAACTGGCCCGGCATGGTGGCTCACACCTGTAATCCCAGCACTTTGAGAGGACGAGGCAGGCGGATCACAAGGTCAGGAGTTCAAGACCAGCCTGGCCAATATGGTGAAAACCTGTATCTACTAAAAATACAAAAATTAACCGGGCGTGGCGACGGGCAGCTGTAGTCCCAGCTACTCGGGAAGCTTAGGCAGAAGAATCGCTTGAACCCAGGAGGCTGAGTTTGCAGTGAGCTGAGATTGGGCCACTGCACTCCAGCCTGAGCTACAGAGTGAGACTCTGTCTAAAAAAAATAAAAGTAAAAAATAAATAAGTAAAAAAAAAAGTAAAATTGTAGCATTTTGGCGAGGCACAGTGGCTCATGCCTGTGATCCCAAGACTTTGGGAGGCCTAGGTGGGTAGATCACTTGAGGTCAGGACTTCAAGACCAACCTGGCCAACATAGTGAAACCTCATCTCTACAAAAACAAAAATTAGCGGGGCATAGTGGTACATACCTGTAATCCCAGCTACTCTGGAGGCTGAGACATAAGAATCACTTGAACCCAAAAGGCTGAGGTTGCAGTGAGCCGAGATGCCACTGTACTCCTCCAGCCTGGGCAAGAGAGAGAGACTCCATCTTAAAAATAAGTAAGGCCGGGCACGATGGCTCACACCTGTAATCCCAGCACTTTGGGAGGCCAAGGCAGGCAGATCACAAGGTCAGGAGATCGAGACCATCCTAGCTAACAGTGAAACCCCGTCTTTACTAAAAATACAAAAATTGTAGTCCAGCCAGGCGCGGTGGCTCAAGCCTGTAATCCCAGCACTTTGGGAGGCTGAGGCGGGTGGATCACGAGGTCAAGAGATCGAGACCATTCTGGTCAACATGGTGAAACCCCGTCTTTACTAAAAACACAAAACATTATCTGGGCATGGTGGCGCATGCCTGTAATCCCAGCTACTCAGGAGGTTGAGGCAGGAGAATTGCCTGAACCCGGGAGGCGGAGGTTGCGGT